GGAGGGGATTGGGAGGTTGGGAACCTGTGGGAGATAGGACTGGAGAAGGCAAAGTTCTGGGAAGAAGAGTCACAGGCTGACCCTCCATTTTTCATTTATTGCAGGAGAGGGAGCAAGCCCCCAAATGTTCCACACTGTGTCCCCAGGGCCCCCTTCTGCCCGCCCTCCCTGTCGAGTTCCTTCTGCAACTCCACTTAATGGGGGTCCTGGCTCCATTCCCCCAGAACCACCCTCAGTTCCCCAGGCTTTCCCCCCTCTAGCAGGCCCTGGGGGGCTCTTCCCACCACCAAGGCTTCCTGAACCAGTTCCCTCTGGGAGTAGCAGCAGCCCCTGTTTCCTCCCAAGGGGCAATGCCCCCTCTCCAGCCCCACCTCCTCCACCTGCTATCAGCCTCAATGCCCCATCATACAACTGGGGAGCTACCCTCCGATCCAGCCTGGTGCCCTCTGACCTGGGCTCTTCTCCAGCCCCTCATGCCTCTTCCTCACCACCTTCAGACCCTCCTCTCTTCCACTGTAGTGATGCCTTAACACCCCCTTCTCTGCCCCCAAGCAATAATCTCCCTGGCCCCCCTGGTCCTGCCACTCAGCCACCAGTGTCTTCAGCCACTATGCACCTGCCCCTGGTCCTGGGACCTCTGGGAGGGGCCCCCACAGTGGAGGGGCCTGGGGCACCCCCCTTCCTTGCTAGCAGCATACTTTCTGCAGCGGCCAAGGCACAGCATCCCCCACTACCCCCTCCCAGCACTTTACAGGGCCGAAGGCCCCGTGCCCAGGCTCCCTCAGCTCCCCACTCCTCATCACTTCGTCTATCCTCTCAACGTCGTCCCCGCCGACCCCCAACTGTACTTCGATTGCTAGAAGGGGGAGGCCCTCAAACCCCTAGACGGAGCCGTCCTCGGGCCCCTGCTCCTGTCCCCCAACCCTTTTCTCTTCCGGAGCCATCCCAACCGATTCTCCCTTCTGTGCTATCCCTGTTGGGCCTCCCCACCCCTGGCCCTTCCCCATCTGATGGAAGCTTTAACCTTTTGGGGTCAGATGCACACCTTCCTCCTCCCCCAACCCTCTCCTCAGGGAGCCCTCCCCAGCCCAGGCACCCCATCCAGCCCTCCTTGCCTGGGACCACCAGTGGCAGCATCAGCAGTGTGCCAGGTATGTGAGTGTCACGGAGCCCTCCCTCCCTTTGGTGGGAAAGAGACAGCTAAGGCATTTAGGGGGAACATTTAGAGAGCTCTTCGGGCAGGGAGGTTAGGTTCTTTGGATGCTGGGAGAAAAGGTCTCACCTGAACTGAATTTCTCTCTTCTTTCACAGGTGCCCCTGCCCCACCAGCTGCCTCCAAAGCCCCTGTAGTCCCCAGCCCTGTGCTTCAAAGCCCATCTGAAGGGCTGGGGATGGGGGCAGGCCCAGCCTGCCCTCTGCCTTCCCTGGCTGGCGGGGAGGCTTTCCCTTTCCCCAGCCCTGAGCAGGGTCTGGCACTGAGTGGAGCTGGGTTTCCTGGGATGCTAGGAGCCTTGCCTCTTCCTCTAAGTCTGGGGCAGCCTCCACCTTCTCCATTGCTTAGCCACAGTTTATTTAGTGTGCTGGCTGGGGGAGGACAACCTCCTCCTGAGCCCCTGCTACCCCCACCAGGGGGACCTGGCCCTCCTTTAGCCCCAGGCGAGCCTGAAGGGCCTTCGCTTTTGGTGGCTCCCTTGCTTCCACCACCCCCCTCAGACCTTCTTCCACCTCCTTCTGCACCCCCTAGTAACCTCCTTGCCTCTTTCCTGCCCCTCTTGGCCCTAGGCCCCACAGCTGGGGACGGGGAGGGATCTGCAGAGGGAGCTGGGGGTCCAAGTGGGGAGCCATTTTCAGGTTTGGGAGACCTGCCCCCTCTACTATTCCCCCCACTTTCAGCCCCCCCTACCCTCATAGCTTTAAATTCTGCGCTGCTGGCTGCCAGCCTGGATCCCCCCTCTGGGACACCTCCCCAGGTAAGGATAGGGGGTGAGTGGGTGGTACAGAACAAGTAGAATCAGATGGGGGCTGGGAATCAGAGGCTTTTAGTTTCATGCCTGAGTTCTTCCTTAGGGCCTTTGGGGAGGCCTTAGTTCTTGGCTGGGGGTAGAATGGCTGCAAGAACTGAGTCTGTGTTTAGTAAGTATGGCCTACCTCACTTGAGGTTCCAGTCAGACAGTGAATGTGAAAGTACTAACATTCAGTGACCGTTTCACTCATGGGAGCTTTATAACCATTCTTTCCTTAGCCCTGTGTCCTGAGTGCCCCCCAACCTGGACCACCTACCTCCAGTGTCACCACGGCAACTACTGACCCGGGGGCCTCCTCTCTGGGCAAGGCCCCCTCCAACTCAGGGAGACCCCCCCAACTCCTTAGCCCTCTGCTGAGTGCCAGCCTGCTGGGTGAGTCTGAGAGTACTCTTGGTGTGAGAAAGAAGCAGTAAACTTCGAAGGGTGAATAAGTTGGAGAAGAAAGTCATTGGACCCTGGATAGAGCATAAAAGAAAACAATAGGATCTGCCCAGTCTAATTGGTTTGCCTAGGGAGAGACCCCTGACTCTGCATATTTCTCAACAGGTGACCTGTCTTCACTGACCAGCAGCCCTGGAACCCTCCCCAGCCTGTTGCAGCCTCCTGGCCCTCTTCTCTCTGGCCAGCTGGGGCTGCAGCTTCTCCCTGGGGGGGCTCCTCCACCCCTCTCAGAGGCTTCTAGTCCCCTAGCCTGCCTGCTACAGAGTCTCCAGGTGAGAGTGGGTGTATAATTTGCCAGGGAGAGAACTTTTTCTCAAACTGGAAATTTAAGGCTGAGTTACAGTGGAAGACTGTAGTTGAGACTGAGGTATTATTTTTTGCCAACAGATCCCTCCAGAGCAGCCAGAAGCTCCCTGTCTACCCCCTGAAAGCCCCACCTCAGCCCTCGAACCAGAGCCTATCCGGCCTCCCCTCAGTGCCTTAGCCCCATCCCACAGTTCTCCAGACCCCCCAGTCCCTGAGCTGCTCACTGGGAGGGGGTCAGGGAAACGGGGCCGGAGGGGAGGAGGGGGACTTAGGGGCATTAATGGTGAGGCCAGGCCAGGCCGGGGTCGAAAGCCTGGCAGCCGGCGGGAGCCTGGCCGACTGGCCTTCAAATGGGGGACACGTGGTGGCTTCAATGGACAAATGGAACGGTCCCCTAGAAGGACCCACCACTGGCAGCATAATGGGGAACTGGCTGAAGGGGGTGCTGAGCCCAAGGATCCACCCCCTGCTGGGCCCCATTCTGAAGACCTTAAGGTGAGTAGAGTGATGGAGGTCTGGGCTCAAGGGCTCTGAGAAAAGGCTAGGGCCATGTTGCCTTTTTCTAACTTTTCCTACATACAGAGTCCGTCTTTTCTCAGGTGCCCCCAGGGGTAGTCAGAAAGTCTCGTCGTGGCCGGAGGAGAAAATACAAGTAAGTGTTGTGCTCACCACAGTACTGGCCTTTGCCTCTTTGTTGGACTGGACAATTCTAAGGGTCTACCTAGTAGGCTGGTTTTCAAAAAGAAGATACTTAATTTGAATATGATTAAGGATATTAAGCCTTTACTATCCAAATGTAGAAAGCTTCCCACCCCAACTTCTGAAACTTATTTGGTGCTTGGAGAGCTGTCCCTGATCCTCTATGCCCCTTATTTCAGCCCTACACGGAACAGCAACAGCTCCCGCCAGGACATTACCTTGGAACCCAGCCCTACAACCCGAGTAAGTGTGTGTGTGTGTGGGGGGGGGGATGGGGGGTGGCGTAGGTATTGGCAGGGTGTAAGCGATGAGGCAGGAAGAAAAGAGGGCTAGAGGGACTGGGGAAAAAATAAGACTTCCTAATACCTAATGACTGATCATGTCTTTCAACTTCTCTCACACAGGCGGCTGTCCCTCTGCCTCCCCGGGCCCGCCCTGGCCGTCCTGCCAAAAACAAGAGGAGGAAACTGGCCCCATAACAGCCATACCTGGAGCTGATCTGACCCTGACTGGGGAGAGCTGAGTGCTGAGCCTTGGGAGCCCCTGCCAGCCACCTGCACCTGTGGACAGTGGGTGGGGGCACTACTCCCCACTCAGAGCACAAATGCAAGCCCTTTCCCTACAATCCCATCCTGAGCCATTGCAGGGGGTAGGGAAGTTCACCCCCTCCCCCCCAAAGCCATGTCACTGAAAAGGCCTGGGGGGGGTGGTATATGGCCCTCTCCCTACCAGGCGCTAAGGGGAGAACACCCCCTTCCCCAGGTCTTTTATTTGTTTAAGTTATTTTTGCACAAATGACTTTTATATTTAATTCGACTTCATTGCCTCCCTCTCAAAGCCAGCAGGCTCAGTTTACAAACCTGTGAGCTACTGTTGGCTGCTGCCCTCCTTCCCAGTGAAAGGTACAAAGCAATAAGCATCATGCATCCTCCCCTGACCCCTCCAACGCCCCCTCCCTCTGGCTCAGGTTGCTCAAAGCACAGATCCCCTTTTATCCCTGTCCCCAGGTCTGAAACACATAGCCTCATTTCAAGGTGTAGCCAGGTTTCCCCCACTTTCCTCTGGGATGTTAAAAGGGGGTAAGGGGGCAAAGAGAGCCCTCTGGGCCTCCTCCCATACACACTACACTGCCCCTTCTCCCCCATCAAAACGCTCAGAGACGTTGTGATGATGCGACTGAGGATTATGCAACGCGGTCCAGCCGGAGCGGCCAGCATGACCAGCTGTCCAGGGGCTGCCTCCTGCCTTTTCTTTTGTAAAGACAAGACCCTTGGGAGTTTTAATTCTGTTTTGTACTTGCCCTGTGGGGCCTCCACTGCTTTTCTATGGGAGACACTCTTAATTTAACAGATGAGAATATTTTGAAACTCTGGCTCTGGCTCTGTACTCATTTTTTATTTAGGTTTTTCTGAAGAACAGGTTACAATTCAAAGTCTTCTCATGTAGAGTGACTTAGACTGCCTATCATGCCATGAATGTTGTCTATGTCTCAGTGCTGCCTCTTCCCCAGAAAATACAGCAGAGGCCACACAGAGTACAACAGCATTTAATGGTCACAAACAGTTGTACAGTATTACAAAGCTGTGTTGGAGGATAGGACCCATTCCTTCCCACACTGGGCAAAGCAGTACTGGATGTGAGCTGGCATGTGGCTGGGCTCACATCCTTATGCCCTGGGCCTGAAGAGAGACCACCATCTAATATCCCCCAGCTACTGTTCTGTATTCATCAGCAGAGGGTATAAATCCCACATGCAAGAAGACCCCCTCACCCCCAGTGTCACATGGGACAGGATGCAAGAGTTAGAATGAAGGGAAGACCCTACATAAGCTGTTAGGAGTTCAGAGGGGCAGGGATTATCTAATCCCTGTTCACCATTCCCCACAGTGCTCACTTTCCCAGCTTCTTCATCCGCTCATCAATGCTGGCAAAGTTTCCCTCAACTGTGGCCAGGTTTTCACGCATGGTTGTCTGTACCTACAAAGGGGGAGAGAGGCTTCACTCTTTGGTCCAGTTCCTTGAATGAGGGCCTGAAGAAATTCTCTTAGAGAAGACAAAAAAAAAAGAGAAGATAGCAGCAGAATATGGATGTCTATAGTAGCAGTTTGGTTTTCTTTTGGACAGAGTCTCACTGTTACCCTGGGTAGAGTGTCATGGCGGTGGCATAGCTCACAGCAATCTCAAAATCCTGGGCTCAAGCAATCTTCTTGCCTCAGCCTCCCAACCACACTTGGTTAGTTTTTTCCTACTTTTAGTAGAGACGGAGTCTCACTTTTTGAGATAAGACTAGTCGCCCTGGAGCTGAGTGCCATGGTGTCATAGGTCTCAGCAACCTCAAACTCTCAAGCTCAAGTAATCCTCTTGCCTCAGCCTCCCAAGTAGCTGGGACTACAAGCACCTACCACAACACCCAGCTATTTTTAGAGATGGGGTCTCTTGCTCAGGCTGGTCCCGAACTCCTGAGCTCAGGCCATCTATCCACCTCGGCCTCCCAGAGTGCTAGGGTTATAGATGTAAGCCACTGTGCCAGGCCTAGCAGTTTTCAAAGTACCCCTCGAAGATCATGGACCTAGCTCAGAGTTGCCAAGCAGGCAGGACTCTTTGAGAATTCCCATCCTTACTTCAGCCAGAATAGTTCTTCCATATCTTCTGTGTAAGAAGAGCCAAGTAAGATTTTGTTGAAATGAGAGCTACACAGGCTCAAATTTTTAGCAAACTGCTCTGGAGGAAGAGGATATTGTCCCAGTTCTTTATATATATTTTCATTTATCTTGATGGCCCCTCCAACAGAAATTGAGAACTTGCTATGTGCCAAGCATTACTAAAAGAAAGAAGGAACAAGGAAGATAAGGCTCACTATCCAGGGTCAGAAAGGAAATGGCAGAACCAGGTTGGAGCCTGGCTCCTTATTTCAAACCCTGTATTCTTTCCAGTGTGCTGTGTTCAGAAGCAGCGGGGTAAAGCTAAGCTGAGACTACAAAGAAAAGGATTAGATTTTATAAGAAAAACGTCCACTAACTCCTAACAATTCATCTACCTTCTTTCACCTAATCTACATAACTCTAAGGAAAGCATAATTTTCCAAATGAAAAGACAGATGCTCATAGGTTAAATAAGTTGTCAAAAGTCCCACAACCATTGAAAAGTAGTCTGGAGGCTCAAGGCCTGTAGCTCAACCGGCTAAAGCGCCAGCCACATACACCTAAGGTGGCCGGTTTGAATCCAGCCTGGACCCGCCAAACAACAATGAGGGCTGCAACCAAAAAATAGCCGGGCATTGTGGCGGGCGCCTGTGGTCCCAGCTACTTGGGAGGCTGAGGCAGGAGACTCGCTTGAGCCCAGGAGTTGGAGGTTGCTGTGAGCTGGGATGCCATGGCACTCTATCCAGGGGGACAGCTTGAGGCTCTGTCTCAAAAAAAAAAAAAAAAGAAAAGTAGTCTGGAGATTCAAAGCAACCCCTGCCACAAAAGAATGCTACAAAGTGGGCTAAGGCAGAACCCTAAGAGAGAGCAGGAGAACCTAGTTTGTATGTGCTAGAGAAAGAGACAGCTGGTCAATGAAGAGGTACACACCTGGGTCAAGAGGGTGGCGTTGTCCTTAAGGGAATTAGCAATCATCTGCTGGGTGGTATCCAAGTGTGTCAGGAGCTGACCAAACTGCATGGCTACAAAAGAAGAAAGGGATGGTTAAGGATAGAATAAAAGATGAGGGAGTGGAACAAAGTTGTCCACTTTTCAATTTCTTGTAGCACTGCTGGCAGCTGGCCTCCCACCTTGCTCATGCAACTGCTTGATGGTGACAAGTCTCTGCACCAGCTCAGGGAGTGTGGAGGCGATGGGGCTCCAGCGCTGTATGGCTTCATATAGCTGGTGGACCTGAAGGGACATGACAGGGCCCAGAGGGCATAGTTGAGGCAGCCAGTGACTGATAGCAAGTGGCCAGAGGGGAGCACTGTTCTGACATTCTCAGCTGATGAGAGCTTATGAAGACAGAGACCTGCGTTTTCGGCATGTTCTCGTGCTTTGATATTACTACTTGGAGAACCCAAGGGAATGGAAAGGAGTATGAAGATGGGGAAGGTGTCTTCCTGACCTTGCTTTGCGTATCTGCATCTTCTACAGAGGCTTTATGCTTGGCAATCTCATTCACCTTTCCCAGGACACTCTGAAAACCACATATTTTAAGGTTGATAGTGAGGGCATCTAGGGCTTCCAAGTCTCAACCTCCCCATAATTCAATTCGCTCTCATTTAATACCTGCAGCCGGGCCTCCACTTGGTCCAAAACGGCAAGGTCCAGGGCTCCCACCTTTGCCTGCAAGAGCTCTACAGCCTCCTGAGGGTAGGGTGGGGGCAGGCATCACACAGGGGGAGGGAGAAGCCCATACCGGGGCAGGCATCACAAAGGGGGAGGGAGCAGCCCATTCCACCAGAGTTAATATATATCTACAGACCCAGAAATAATTCTTAAAGCAAAACCAATCCTAATATCTCCTCTGTAATACCAAACACTCAAGTTCCTTCCAAACTCACCATAAGACAGGTTCCCTGTAGTCCTGCAGAAAGGGGATTCTGGTGGAAAGGCAGGGCAGAAATCAGCAGTTGTTGGGTCTCCATTTGATTACTACCTTCTCCCATCCTTCCTAATTGGAGCTAATCCCTGTGAAACCCTTTCCTGACTCCTCCTAGGCTTATATGGAATGCTGTGGACCTTAGGGTTCAGGGCACAGGGTCTAAGGCTCACACCAAGTATAGGAGACACCTGACCTGGGCATCCTGATCACAGCGCACAGTTGCCTCCAGCTCTGTCAGGCGCTTCTCAAGTTCTGCAACCTAGTGGGAAGAAGAAGGTAAGCTTGCCACCTGCCTCCCTACTGACACAGTGAAATCAATAATCATTCCCCTCCACTCCCTGCTCCAAAGGACTCCTTTCCCTGCACCGCATCCCTAGCCACAATCTTAAAATCCTAACTGAAGGCAGATGGGCAAAGGAAGCAGAGAATGAGGAACCAGGAGGAATCACAAGCTTCCCAGCACACTCTTCCCAGGTCTGAGTCCTTGGAGAGAGGCAGGAAAATCTCCAAAGCCACTTCTCCCTGGCTCCCTAACCAACTCCATATGCATACTTACTTTGGCAGCTTGAGAGAACTTGTCCTGCTCAGGCCGAGAATGTAGTTCATAAGTGACAAGACTGCTATCTGGAGGGGTTCCGGTGGTGGGTTTCCCTCCTGAAACTCCTTTGCTTTTCTTTGTTGCTTCTAGCTGCAGCAGTAGGCGCCTAGGTCGAGAGACCAAGTAACATCATGACTTGAAGGCTGAGGGCCAATCACTCTCTCTCACTTGTGCCTCATGGTCAGCATTAAGGAACAGCTGAGCCACCTCTTTCCTTAGCATCCCTGTCAGTAGCTGGCTTAGTCCCTCCACAATCCCAATCAGCAAGGATTTTCCGACAAAGTAGGGCACCCGCTCACTTAGCCAGAGCTCCGTCAGGGTCAGTGAGGTTGACTGCAGCGTCTGGTCCCAGAAGCTTCTCCAGGTGGGAAGCCACCAGCTGCTGCTTCAGCACTGCCAGCTGTTTAGCCAGCACCACAGGGGTCAGCTTCTCCTCAGTGGCTGACTCCTTCACTGCTGTCTGGTATGAAAAGAGTAGACAGTGAGAGAGTGGCAAGAATGAATCAGGAAAAAAAATGGATCAAGACCCTTGGACCAAAGGGTAGTTGTAGATGGAGGTCACTGGGATGGCTTTAAGCACAAGAGACTGCCCACTTGCAGCACCTGAGACAGACCCACGTGTACCTCTAAACTCTGGAAACCCCAGCCCCCTGCCAGGAGCTTAGGGAATCCTTTTCCTACTACTAGAGGTCTTCCTCTACTATGTAAGTCACAGCAGAGATGGGAGAATAGAGTTGATACTTACCTTGATTTTCTCAACTTCACTTGTCAGCTCTTGGACCTCATGGAGTAGTCGCTGGTATTTTTGCTGGGGTGTCTCCTTCACTCCTAAACCCTCTCCAAGCTAGAGAACAAGCAGAGCATAATGTCAGACCTCTCATCACAGGGAGCCTCAAGTATTTATCCAAACCCTAGGTCTAACTCATAAGAGCATCATTTCCAATTCAGAGTCCATAACAACATAGTACAGATGAAATAGAGCTAGCCAGGGCCTAGAGACTCTCCAGAACTCTCAGCTGCATGCTGTTGGGTTTCTCAGAACCCCCACCCAGAAAAACTCAGAATCCTGACTGTTACCTATTTTTTTTTAGACGGAGCCTCAAGCTATCCCCCTGGGTAGAGTGCCACAGCATCACAGCTCACAGCAACCTCAACTCCTGGGCTCAAGCGAGTCTCCTGCCTCAGCCTCCCAAGTAGCTGGGACTACAAGCACCCGCCACAACGCCTGGCCATTTTTTGGTTGCAGCCATCATTGTTGTTTGGCGGCCCGGGCTGGGGATTCGAACCCGCCACCTTAGGTGTATGTGGCTGGCGCCTTAGCCGCTTGAGCCACAGGCGCTGAGCCCTGACTGTTATCTCTTGATCTCCCTCCTGAATGGTCACTAGGTAGGATGACTACACCATTCCCACCAATACACACAACAAACCATCTCGTATTCTCCAGATTCATATCCTGTCCTCTTGGTTTTTCCAATACGATCTGAGAAATCTGCCAAGAAAGAAGATGGAACTGAGGGCCTGATCTAGGTCTCATGATCTCAGGTGACCATGAGAGCTCCCTTAGGAGATCTCCATGAGGGACCCTTTCCCCAGAGCACAAGTCACTAAGACCTGAGGACAGGAAGCTACTTCCCATGCTTGTCCTTTAGGCTTCCCCCAACCCAACTTTCAGCCCAGTCTTACCAAGTCCCTTTGTTCCCACTCTCTTGTCTTTGAACTTGTCATAGGCAGCATTGGGATTGACAATGATGTGCTCCACACTTGTGCTTGTCAGTTCCTCCTGCAGAAACAGGCAATTTAGACCAGTGGCAAACTCATTCTCATCCTAAAACTTCCTCTGTCCCACAAACCCCCAAACTATCAAGAAATTGGGCCCTATTTTTCCAAGGAGAAAGAAAAGTGGCTCTATTCCAAGCTACTGACCCACACTCAACATAAGAAATAGAAGCTTCCTGGTAAATTTGAAGCCTCCGTTGTATATTAACACCCTGATTCAACTGGGAACAGAAGCTGTGTAACCTCCCCACCCTGTCTGTACATAAGCCTCCCCACCCTGCCCTCCCAGTTATCTGGCACACACCAAGCACTCAAAGCAAGAAGCAAAACCTGACCTCTTTTAACCTCCCCCTCCCAAAAGTAAATCTCCTTGCCCGCTGAGCAAGTCCACTTTAAAGCTGAGCTCCCATCCTGGCTGGAGGGAAAGAGGAGGGAAGGCAGACAGACAGGACACTAACTCTGAGTGTGAATCAGGGTTTTACACCTGCTGAAGATAAGATACCACCTCTTAGATACAAAAGTCAGGTGGGCAGAGGGCCTGGCATGAAGCCTAGTTTCCAGGCTATCCTGAGGCCACAGAATTCATGAATAGGAAGAAAAGACAAGGGCATACTGGATTATTTTCTAAGGGACATCTTAGAAGCAACAAACATAAGCAATATCTGCTTGCCAAGAGCACCCTTGGGCGAAATGAAGAGCCCAGACTCCTGTACGGAGAAATTGCAGCACCTGCTTTGCTCCCTGACCCCCTGCTGCACTTTAGGCACTGAGTTCTTCCATAAACAGGGGACACAGCAGAGAAAGGGAAAGAGATTTCACTCTAGAACTTAAGACAGAGAGGCTCCCTCTTTACTAGAGGCTCTCTCTACTTGCTGTTCATATTCCAATTAACTACACTGAGACTGGGCACCCCTGAGCGCATGTCCCTTCTCAACTGTCAGAAGCTGACAGCTCTTGAGAGAGTACTAAAGGAAGGAGACCCAGGAGTCCTTTCTTATTAGTGAAGGCATCTCCACTTTCTACAGGAAGAAGGCAAAATGAGTCTTCTTTTCTTCACCTTGGACAATAATTCACAACAATGACTGCACATTAGAATCACTGAAAAAAAATTTTTTTTAAGGCCTAGGCCCTCTTCTGCAGATTCTGATGTAATTACCCTGGGGCAGGGCCAGCTGATTTTAATCTGTAGCCATGACTGAGAACCTCTCCTGTGTGAGGGTATGTGGGGAGAAGGGGTGAGGGGAGAAATGAAGAGACACCAGAAGAAAGAGCTGCAGAAAGAAGGAAGCTCCTTTCTTCACCTCTGCTTTGCTATTAGTCAGAAAAGGAATCACCGTGGGTGGCGGCTTTAAAAATAAGGGAGGAGAGGGGAAAGGAGAAATATCAAAGTTGATACTTTGATATTTCAACTTTGATATTTCTCTCTTCCTCTGGGAACTGCTGGGCAGAAGAGCAAGATGTACAAATGTATAGATCAGGGGAAAACAAAAGGGCTCAATGTCCTATCTGCCAGTGCCTGGGGAAAGAGACATTTGAGTCCCAAATGATTATCTCTTCAGCCTTGTCTGAAAAGACCTACCAGTCAAATAAATAACTGTGTAGTCTCTGGCCTCTCTCTATAAACGATTTGAGAAGGACTGAAGCTTGGGCTGGACAACCATCTTCTCTAAGTTCATACTCAAGAATATGACACTTCTTCCTGTGAAAGCCCCCACTCAAGGCCAATGAGGTAAAATCCTTTTTGTTTGTTTGTTTGTTTTTAATCCTCTTAAAAAAGAGGAACGGGAGGCATAACCTATAGACCAAAGAAAGAAGTTAATCACAGCTCCTGTTTGTTAAGCCCTGATTACAGGCAGGCACTATGTATATGAGAACCTACTTTTCAATTTATGACCCTAAGTAGGCAGAAGAGAGAAATTAAAACAGGTCAACACACAGAAGGGAAGTCTAGGGCTCTGGACAGCGCTTTCCTTCCACTATTCCCTGATGTGGGAGCACGTCCTGGGCCAGAAGGGCCACCCGACGCTGACATCCTCTTGGAGCCTCTCCAAGGCTGTGGCTCTGGGACACTCTGGTGGGCAGCATACACTCTGGTCCTCCAGTGGCATCTACTTCGCCAGTGTCTCTAAGATCTGGGGCATGGGTTGGGGGCAGTGTCATTACGGTAACTTGTGAGATAGGAAAATGCTGTCAGCGGGGTGTGGAACTGAACAGAGGAATGAAAAGATTTAGTAGAGACAAAAGGATAGAGAAACAACTCCCCTTCATAGCACACCCCGTTAAAAAGCAGATGAAAGGTCAGGCTTCTTACCAGCTCCTTGTGGTTTCCCCAGAGGTGAGAAATCAAAAGAGTTAAAAGGAAAGGGAGGTGGGGGAATGGGGATGAGGGAGGGGAAAAAAAAGACAAAATTGTTATTAGCAAATTGTCACATGCACTACATGACAGTCTTCAAACACACTGCACCACAGGGCCCCAGGGGAGCCTAGCAAAATTTGGAGGGGCCAAGAAATTTCATCTGGGGTCACCACATACTCCAAGAGAAAGAGCATGAGACCCTTTCCTCTCTGGTGGTGAGGATGTCATGAAGCTTTGCCATTAACAGTAGCAATTTAGGATTATCTGAGAACTAGGAGTTAGATGTCACAAGCTAGTGGCATGGGATAGGAAAGTGTGGAAGACGAGGCTGAGGTGAGAGGGAAGCTACAGAAATGGTATAACATGAAGCAGAGATTATGGAGATTCTGAGGACCTGCAGCTGATAGTGGTCCATACTTTGCTAGGGAAGGGTCCCTTTACTAGTTCATGGCCCAAGTCTTCCTGACTCTTGGTTTCTAGTGGTGAAAATTAGACATTTGGATGGCAGAATCAGTTACAGTGTAAGTGCTCATGTGAGTGGTCTGATGACTTTAGGTTAGGCAGAACAAAATGTGTCCAGTACAGATGGTGAGTTCAAGGAAAGATGAAGTACTGAGTGCAGCCCAGTTCTCATTTCCTGATGCCAGAGGAGAGGCAGAGCAAATCCTGGCCCCTCAAGCAGGTTGGCATGTCTATATCCACTCTGAGTGGCTGGTCGCTCACCCTACAGCTTTGAGGGGTCCAGAGCAATTCTGCCATGAAATGCTAGCACAGAGTCAAGAACACATCAAGATTCACAGCTGCCAGCCCATGTGCAGAACACATTCCTTTAACCCTTCACAAGATTCACAGGGGTTGGAGAGTGGACAAGGAAGACGCATAAAGAATATTTCAAGGAGGCCTTATTTTTGTCCAGGCCACATAGATAAGGCACTCCCACTTTCAGGCAAGACTGGTTTAGAACGGCCAGGGGAGGAAATCCAGTGGTATGCCCTGCCTTTCCAAGAGCTCTGGTGATGGGCAGATGGAAGTGTGGAGAGCTGATGGTTATGTGAATATGAAAACCCATGATGTGATAGACAAGTGCTTACTCTCCCAAGATTTCAGCCTGATACTTCTGACCCTCAACCTCTCTGTTCCCTGGCTGATGCCTGGATTCACCTCAGCCAAGACTCTTCTTTTAGCCCACAGTAGGGGTAGCTCCAGGTCCTGTGGTCTAGGCTGGGATGTCTCTGCACAGAGTGGGCATAAGCACTCATGGATGCACACATGCGAACACACAGAAGCACACACACTATACCTTTCTCTGACTTGTCCCACCAAGCTAAAACCACCTTGGGAGAAACTCAAGGAGAGAGGACAATGGGTCATAGGTTCAAGTTCAAACCATAAGGAATGGGCAGAATAGGGAGGAAAGAAAATCAAAGAAAAAGGGCGGTGCCTGTGGCTCAAGGAGTAGGGCGCCAGCCCTATATGCCAGGGGTGGCGGATTCAAACCCAGCCCCAGCCAAAAACTACAAAAAAAAAAAGATAATCAAAGAAAAAAAAGAGTGGTATATTAGTTTACATATAGTATATACCACCTCCAGGTCTATCCTAAGGATTGACTGAGGGATGAGATTTTAGGCATAATTTCTGTAACCTGGAGTAGTAACAGTCACCATGGAAACCTAGTACACAGCAGCCAGTACACAGCAGCTCTTGATTGGAAAATTTCAAGAGCTCTGATCCCAGGTACCAGCTTACTTGGTATATGACCCTCAGGCCCTTCGGTTAATAGAATCCCAGAATTCCCCAGGGCTATTTGGCTAAGTAGTTTTCCCTCAGAGGCAAGACCTCAAGTACTAAGTAAGGCAGAGGAGGTGGCCACTGCTGCTCTCTGAGCCTATTCAGGCTCTATGCCAGCGGTTCTCAACCTGTGGGTCATGACCCACAGGAACTGTATTAAAGGGCTGTGGCATTAGGAAGGTTGAGAACCACTGCTCTATGCCAACACTGCAGCCAGGGGGACTTCAGAACCATGATGACAAGGGAAATGAACAGAGCCACAGAATAAAACTGTCCAGGATGGACCAACATAATGCTGACCATTTTTAAAGGAGGGGCATAGAAACAGACTTATAAAAGCAAAAATAACTCAAGTTATTATCTTAAAATTGCATATAACACCTCCTTACCATCCCATTGCTTCTCTGAAGGCCTAGCATGGGGAAGAGTAAAGGGAGATTTTTTTCAGGGATAACATACATATAGCTAAGAAGTGAGGGTCCTTTGTTCTCCACCCTTGCCTAGAGTAGCTAAAAGTTATTCCATAAAAAACTCTTAATTTCATCTCGGTTTGAGGAGAAAGGCAACCCACCTTCTAACTTTTAGTCCCTAAATGGCTCAGGTTCAAAAGCATTCATAGCCTCCATGTTTCTATCCCATTCTCCATTGGACAGTTTTATTCTGCAGACCTCACAAGGGGAAAAGACAGTGATTCAGGGATTATAGTGTGTTTTGAACCCTTGATTAATGATCTTTAAATATAAGGCCAGCAGGCCCCTTAGCCAGGGACTTACTTGAATTTAAAATGATTAGCTACAATAATAGCACAGTGGCAGAGCATTGCATGCGAGATAGCAGATGAAAAAAAAAACATGCAGAGAAGAAGCATTGAATGGTCTTACTTGTGCAAACTAGTGTCCAGGCAAGGTGGTGAGGAGGGAGGATGGGGGAAGCATTAGGAAAAACTCAGGTAAGTTCAAGTGTGCCAACAGTCAATGAACACAATCAAGCACATTTGTGATATTCTGAACTATAAGGAAGAGAGCCTACTCTTTCTCATCTCAGGCGCATCCAGCAGTGTTTTATTTTTTTGAGAAATGAAGCCTCTGCCCAGGCCCCATTAAACTATGGCTAGCGCTCCTCCGCACCCCTTTCATGGGTTGGGGGTAGTTAGGCCATAAAGATAGAAACTAAACCCTGTTTCTAGTGAGGTTTTCTTAATTTGCTTCCCTTGCTCCAGCAGGTCAAAAGCCATGAGCAGAATGCCTCATGGACCCAAGGCAGGCTATAGGCCTAAAGTGGAGGCAATTCCATTTGGGAATTAGCTTTCCTAACAAGACATTTTAAGAAAAGCCTCCAATCCTAGCATTCTGGGAGGCCAAGGTGGGTGGATTGCTTGAGCTCAGGAGTTTGAGACCAGCCTGAGCAAGAGACCCGGTCTCTACTAAAAACAGAAAAACTAGCCAGGTGTGGTGCAGATGCCTATAGTCCCAGCTACTTGGGAGGCTGAGATAAGAGGACTGCACAAGCCTAAGAATCTGAGGCTGCTGTGAGCTACAATGTCATGGCACCCTACTAAGGGCACTGAGTGAGACTCTGTCTCAAAAAAAAAGTCTCCAATTAAGCCATTGCCCCAATCAATCAGTAGTGTCTGGAATGCATAGTGGTCTTCCCAGACAGAGAAGGCAAGGGCTAGCCTGTGTGGTTCCCTGGCTCATTACTATTTTAGAATAGTTTGTAGAAATCAGGATCATCTATAGTGAATTTTTTTTGTTTTTTTTTTGCAGTTTTTGGCTGGGGCTGGGTTTGAACCCGCCACCTCCGGCATATAGGGCCAGCACCCCACCCCTTTGAGCCACAGGCACTGCCCCCATCTGTAGTGAATTTTAAATCTTTTACTACTTTCCTCCTTTACTACCCTTCCTCCCACTAGAGGAATCATAAAACTTTTATGTTTGGGGTTTTTTTTTTTTTGGAGACAGTTTCATTTTGTGGCCCTTGGTAGAGTGCCTTGGTGTCACAGTTCACAGCAACCTCAAACTTTTGGGCTCAAGCTATTCTCTTGCCTCAGCCTACCAAGTAGCTGGGACTACAAGCACCTGCCACAACACCGGGCTATTTTTAGAGATGAGGTCCTGCTTTGGCTCAGGCTGTTCTCAAATCTGTGAGCTCAGACAATTCTCCCGCCTCAGCCTCCCAGAGTGCTAGGATTACAGGCGTGAGCCACCTCGCTCAGCCATAAAGCTTTTAAGTTAATCTAGCAATTAAGATTTTTAACAGATATTAGAGGACATTATTTTGTTCAGTAACCCAATTTCTTCCACAGTGGAGAAATCAGAGGAAGGAGGTTAAAGGACAGTTAAGATAGATTTGTCTATTCCTTTATGTCTGTCAGTCTGTATGCATTTATTTATTTACAGAGCCACTGTCACCTTGGATAGAATGCCATGGTATCATAGCTCAAAGCAACCTCAAACTCTTTGGTTCAAGTGACGTTCTTGGGTCAGCCTCCCAAGTAGCTAGGACTACAGGTGCCCCCCACAATGTCCAGTTAGTTTTTTCTATTTTTATTTATTTATGTTTTTGAGATAGAGTGTCACTATGTCACCCTCGACAGTGCTGTGGCACTACAGCTCACAGCAACCTCAAACTCTTGGGCTTAAGCGATTCTCTTGCCTCAGCCTCCCAAGTAGCTGGGACTACAGGTGCCCACTACAACATCTGGCTATTTTTTTTGTAACTGTTGTCGTTTAGCAGCCCAGGATAGGTTCAAACCCACCAGCCCTGGTGTATGTGGCAGGTGCCCTAACCACTGAGCATGAACACCAAGCCAGTTTTTTCTAATTTTAGTAGAGACAGGGTCTCACTCTTACTCAGGATGGTCTCTAACTCCTGAGTTCAGGCAATCCTCCTGCCTTGGCCTCCCAGAGTGCTAGGATTACAGGCGTGTGCCACCACACCTATTTATTTTTTTCTTTCTTTTTTTTTTTGAGACAGTCTTGCTCTGTCACACTGCATACAGTGCAATGGCATGATCATGGCTCACTGCAATCTCAAATTCCTGGCTCAAGCAATCCTTAGACTCAGCCTCCTGAGTAGCTAGACCGCAGATGTACACCACCACACCTGGCTAATTTCTTCTATTTTTAGTAGAGACGGGATCTCACTCTCACTCAGGTTGGTCTCTAACTCCTGAGCTCAAGCAATCCTCAGCCTTAGCCTCTCAGAGTGCCAGGAGCCACTATATTCAGCCAACTATTCCTTTACATAGAAATTTGGAGACCAGGGCAGCGCCTGTGGCTCAAAAAGGGTAGGGTGCCGACCCCATAAGCCAGAGGTGGTGGGTTCAAACCCAGCCCCAGCCAAAAAAAAAAAAA